GTTTTGCCATCAGAATATCAAAAGGGTCTTATGAATAGTCCTAAACCTTTACCTAGTTATGAGTTTATTTTCCTATGCTCAAAATGTTCTAGGATTCTGTCTTTAAAAATTAAAATGTATATGATCAAAGATTTTTCATGTTAGTACTTTATAATTGAGAAAAATCAAAAACAGCTAAGTGTTCATATCAAGGGAATAGTTATGTAGATGTTGGCATAACCATATAATTCGCCCTTTTAAATTATATTTATGAAGAATGTTTAGATTCTTTTGGTATAATGTTAGCCAATGTATAGTAGATTAAAAATTATATATATTGTTAGGAACCATCACCAATGACTGTGTGTAGATTTTTTCAAAACATCTTTATATTTTCCTATAATTTCAAAATTTTGTGCAGTGTAATTATGTTCTCAATAGTGAGGAAGAAAAAATGAAATTAAAACACAGTTGAAAAGACACGAGTGGAGAGCCCAAACCAAGAAAACTTTTTAAATTATGGTGAAAAGTTTAACAACACATATCCTTCTAAAGTCATGGACCTATTCTTACTCTTAAACTACTTTTCTTCTTATTTGTTGTTTCTATGTTTAAGACACTCTTTAGACTAATACTCAAAAATAAAAATAAATTCAGTTCTACATTTTTGTGCTAATTGTCAGAGTTAATAGCAAATAATCTAAGCAGTATTTCTATTTGACTTTTGAATGCATTGTAAGAATTTAGTCTAGAAATATCTATTTGTTTAGATATTTCATTTTGTCACTATTGCTTTGTTTAGGCCTGGTGGTGAGAGGAATTGTATAGGACATAAAGGGAAATAGGAAAAGTGAGAACATTTTGGTAGTGAAAAGGAGCAAACTTTGACTGGAGGTATAATAGATTGCATCCGTGATCTCTGTATCAAAATAATCAATACTTCTGACTATGTCATCCAAAAAAATTTTTTATACCAGCTTTTTAAAAAAATTTAAACTTCATTTAATTTTATCAACTCATTAAAGTCTCCACGAAATGGACTAACCTTATTCTGTAATGTATCAGAAACAGTAGCAGTAGGCAGCAATCTGTGTATGGCAATTAAAGTTCTAGCTGAAATTTAAATATTAAATATAGGAATGATGTGCATATAAAGTCAGATTATTCATTTAATTATGTGATTTTGTTTTGTAGAAGTCTTATTCGTTATAATCAGTTGGCTTGAGAACTTTATTTTGACAGCAGCCCTTGAAATTCACATTCCAATCAAATGCATTCCTATGAACAAAATGCTTACCTGCTGTTATTCAAGATTTAAATGAATGATGTCCTAGTATTCTGCTTAAGATGTTTTACGTGCATGTCTTGAATATGTATCTCTTATAGAACAGAAATGGTAGTGATTATGAGGAACGCTGGACAAATCAGTAAGAGGTGATGATGTTTGCACAGTTCATAGTCACAGAATTTAAATCTGAGGATTGGTTTCAGTATTGTTTGTTGTTGTTTCTCCCCAACAACTCCCTTTGTCACCTACTGGAAGTTGGCAAAGATCAATGATTTAAGTGATTTTGGGATAAGGGTTAGATCTGTGGAAAAAGAAGGCAGAGTGAAGGGCTGAGAGGAATGTTTGTGGAATCTGTGAAGAGAATAATATAAATCAGTAAACTAAAGATGACTGGACACATCCCTTTGTCACACCCGATGACTACCTTTAACAGGGAAATTGTGATTCTCTAGAAATTAAAGTTCTTTAAAAGACCATTAGATATTCGAATATTATATAGACTATTATATAGTTTCAAGAAATAATTTGGATCTACATTAAATCAGTCTGTTTTGTTTCTCTCTATTTCAGAAGGCAAAATGGCTGTCTGTTCTTTTCTGTATGTTGAACTGATAAGTTTGATGTCATGAATTTTTAATGTCTCCTCTAAAATTTTAATTATGAGCTGGGGTGTGAAGTATTGTTGTTAGGCTTCTTTGTTCCTTAGACTTTCAAGTAGGAAGGAAATAAAAATGGTAATTATTCAAATAAATTAAAAATGACCTTTTATGTGACCAAGTTCTAAAAATGTTTACAAATGTTCATAGTTAGCATTGAATTTTACCAGCAATAAAATTTAATGCAAAGATTCAATCCTCTAATTGCAGAATTGTTCATAGAGATAGCTAAGTATTCAGCAAAGAATAATGCATTATTATATAAAGGGCATTGGTAAATTATCTACTCTTACATGGAAATTGTACTATGATTTAGGAGAACTCAGAAAAATGAATAAGTTATGGTGAATTTAATCCACATAATCAATAAAGATAAAATGTTCTTGTCCCACAAATATATACTCCATAAAATTCTTCTTCCTAAGCCAACTTACAAATACTGTAATGCTTCAAAATGAATTAGTTCTTCAGAAGGACAGTCTATAATCACCTTGAAAATACAATATGAATCATGTAAGCAAGGTCTGCTTCCAGTTACATGCACAAAGCTGTAAGACATTGCACTGGTCTGGAAATACCTAGAAGTTCAAGGTGGTTGCTGCCCCACACACATTGGTTTGGATGTCCACCTCGAGGACTTTAATTATAACCTTTCATTGTCTAGTAATTCACCCATTTCAAATAAAATTCACTATTTAAACATACTAGGAATTTGGTAACTGCTTAAATATTATCAATTAAGTTCTGATGGGAATGGGCTGTTGGCTGTGTCCGAATTCTTCTGTTTCCAACAATGAGGGAAGCAGGAAGGTAGTTGTGGAAGAAAAGTGCTTAGAGGAACATGGGATTTGTTCAGTAGCCTTTGCCAGCCTGAGCTCTCAGCACTGAAACATTTCTTTACAAATAGCTAAATTAATGACATGGTAGTGTGTGTGTGTGTGTGTGTGTGTGTGTGTGTGTGTGTGTGTGTTTTGCTTGGGGTAGGAATAAATTGATTGGGGTAGGAATTGTGTAAATAGCTTGGCTTCTTGAGTCTTTTTTATAAAGGATAATAACTAGATCAACAGATATCAGTTACATCTTGCTAGTTCTCAGAGAATGTAATTTATCCTGAAGAGAGTTGTGGAGAATTCAATGTCCTGTGACATCTCCTGGCCTGAAGTGCACATAGCTTTACATCAGGAATTCTTTTGGTCTGTTTATGATCATTTTTGGATAGGTATAACTTCATAAGGTTCAAATTCATGATCATGTAAGGCCCCATGACTCTATGGGTGGAATTGTTATTTTGTTGAGAATCACTGACTGCATTAAAATCAGTTTATGACTATAAAGTTTCTCCTTTTTCTTTTTCAATTTAGTAACAATTGAAAATATCTTATCACAGGTAAGAGATATAAAAAAGAATCATGAAATTATTAAAAAGATAAGGTTCTTAAAATTGCCATTAAATTATGTCTAAATATATTGATCTGTTTTAAATTATTTGGCATCAGTTGAGAGAGACAAAGACTTGAGAGTTTAGCAATGTCATGACAGTATTCTGGCATATCTGAGGTATGGTCTAGAAGCTTCTGTGTAGCCACTCAAATGTATTTTAAAACCTTTGTAAGGGGGAGCATAACCCCCCACTTCTTAAGTGTGGGTTGTGCTTAATGACCTCGTTGCAAAGAGTACAGTAGGGAAAGGGGGAGAAAAGAGCGTAACTTTATAGTTTACAGTGCAGAAAGCATGACAGGTAAAACATCAGCCAAGTAATCCAGGTCAGTATCAACACTGATCAGTCATATCGATAGTGTGGACCCTTGACATGAAGTGGTTCAAATGTTACTTTACCTCTGTAGTCTTCCTTCCAAAAACCAACAGCCCTTGTCTGATTATGAGAAAAACATAAGACAAAACCCAATTTTAGTGAATTAGAAAAAAAAAAAAAATTACGTAATGTAACTAAATGTGGGTGTAAACACAAATCTGTTACCCTATCTCAGTTAGATAAAGACAGAATGGCTAAATCCTTCTCACTGTGGCTAGAGTTTGAATTAAATTGTCAGTTGTGGACATTGACTCGAAAACAGGCGAGTAATGTTAGAGGAGAAATGGCTTAACAACAAGCATAAAACTCTAAGTCCGAGCATTAGGAAACACGAATATCAAGCATGCTGGATTGATACAGTGGGTGTAAAAATTACGCCTAGATCTCTAAAAAGCTAGTTAACAGCCTTTAAAAGGAAACTACCGAATACTTCAGAACAGAATGTTGTTTAGCCTAGTGAGGATACTTGGTTAATTAGTATGGCTTTTATACCAAGAGTCAATCAGGTTATTTCGCATTAAAAACAAAACAAAACAAACGTCCAAATTAGAAGGGGTTATATACAGAGAATTAGAAGTACTTATTTTGGGTTTTTTAATGCCATCTACAAACAAAATGGGAAACCTGTAGTAGCATAGAAATATATCAGTTTTTAGCAGAAGCACAGACTTTTCTACACTTAGTTAATTGATTAAAAAAAAGAAAACATTTAACTTGAGAATTCCTTTCCATATGAATGTGGGGGGGAAGAAAATACTTGAGCTCAAACATGTTAATTTTAAATACACAAATTTTTTTAACCCTGCCTGATTTAATTGGTTTGTGGGAAACTAGCTTATACACTGGATACATACATATTTTATATGGAACACAATGATTTCTAAGTTCTAGATGTGCTATAAATTAAAGCCCAAAGAAAATTTTATGATGAAGATAACCGAGAACAATGTGTATTAATGCATTGTGTGTTTCTGGTTTCCAATAGAACAGTGTCTGCATTAAATTGCTTTTAAACTATGCTTTGCTGTTCTTTTTATCGTAGGCCCTTTATGCAATATGTAGGAGAAATGTATCCATCTATTCTGTACATCATGCCGCCCTTGAAGGACAATGTGAGCTTTTTCCACCTATTGACCAGAGTTACCTGAGTTTATTTCAGCAGGTGTTCAATGGCAGACACCTTCTCAAAACCAAATTTCTCCCTTATGAAAAGCCTTCACTCTGCACATAAAATAAACACCATCTTTATCCTTTTTTGTCCTAGTACACTGACCGGCAGAATTCACCAGTCACCTCACCAGGGTCATCTCCCCTTGCACAGAGAAGAAAGCCACAGCAGGACCCTCTGCAGAGCCCACATCTAAGCCTGCCTCCCGTGCCTCCCCGCCTGGACCTGATTCAGAAAGGCATAGTTCGGTCTCCGTGTGGTAGCCCAACTGGTTCACCAAAGGTAGATCGATTTTATTAGAAACAGATCATGATTTTACATGACAGTTACTGATTGCTTGGGTTTCTTTCAAATTTCATTTCTAGTATTTCTTGTGCTCTTAATTGTTCCTAAACAACTTGGATGGGTTCTCATTTTGTTTATAGAAAGTTCACTGTCATATTTCTTGCTTTCTTATTATAAAAGTTACATAATTATTCAGAGAGAGCACATGTCTGTAATGGTCCCCTAATTTGCTAAAATAAATAATAGAGTAAGTACAGCTATTATGTAAAATGGATTTAAAAGGCCATTATATGTATTAAAATATCCTTATCAAATGATATTTTACACTCAGTTCTTGTCTTGACAAGAAAAATATGATGGGAATATATTTGCATAAGGGCTTAAAATATGATAAATTATAACCCATGTTTTAAGGTGACTCACAAGAGGGAGTTATATGTATTTTTTATACCTGAAGCAATTAATTATAAAGAATTACAATATTTGCAGAGTAATTACCTTACTGTTTATTATTAAACACATAATTTTAACTCAGTAAATCTAAGCCCACAGTTTATTTTAGTACTGTGTGGATTTTTTTTTTCAAATTTGATAAGGGTATTTTTTGCTGTATTAAATACAAGATTTAAAAATTCCATTTGATGTTTTATAGTCTAAAATTAGTTGAAGCACAATATTAGTATTTGCTTTCTGTACATTACAGTTAACTTGGTTTTAAGATCATATTAATACTTCTTAGGATGTTACTTAGGCAGTATTATTTAAACACAACACATTTTTTGTCTCTTAAATATAAAAAGCACAAATCAGCCCTGGCCAGATAGCTCATTTGGTTGGGGCATTGTATTGATGCACCAAGGTTGCGGGTTCAATTCCCAGTCGGGGCAGATATAAGAATCAACCAATGAATGTATAAATAAGTGGAAGAACAAATCAATCTCTCTCAAAAAAAAAAATCAATAAATTTTTTTACAAAGCACAAATTATTTATGAGATGAACCAAGTGTATCAGAGTCAAAGCTGTGCAAGTTCCATGGATTCAATTCAGGAGCATATATACCTTCATATTTTCATGTAAGAATCAGATTGCTTTTATTTTCATTTTAAGGATTTTTTCATAAAATTCAAGTGAGGGCTATAAATGGTGCTGCCATATTATCTGTGATTTTCACTATTTTGGGAGTAACTGATAAAACGAAAAACCAGAGCAAATTTGCCCCTTATCAAAGTTGCTTTATAGTGGAGCAGCGAATACAAAAATAGCAAAACCAACACTCAGTCTTCCAGAGATTTTACAAATCAAGTTGCTCTTTAAAAAAGGAAGTGAACAACAACTTTGTTGATTTCTTCTCTCTCTTAAATCATAGAAATGTGCAAATAAATTAATTAATGACTCAATATTATTTTAATGTCAGCCATTCAAAATCATCATGTAATTTTAGTATCCTTTTTTCTGTATAGTCTAGAATTTTAACATTTTAGTTTATATAACATTTCTATGGAAATTTCTAATGAAATATATTTATATGAGTCTTTCATTAACTTTTAAAAATTTCATCAACTGGTAATAAAAGGAAACTAATGAAGCTCTGTGATGGCTTAGAAAGCAAGAGCAGTAACAGAGTAGTCTGGAAGCCATTTCAGTGCTGGTACAACTTGATGTTTTTTTTTCCTCTTGTGTCTCCTTAGTCTTCGCCTTGCATGGTGAGAAAACAAGATAAACCACTCCCAGCACCGCCTCCTCCCTTAAGAGACCCTCCTCCCCCTCCACCTGAGAGACCTCCCCCCATCCCACCTGACAATAGGCTGAGTCGGCACTTGCACCCCGTGGAGAGTGTTCCTTCCAGGGACCAGCCCATGCCTCTGGAAGCCTGGTGCCCTCGGGATGTCCATGGGACTAATCAAGCAGTGGGATGTCGACTCGTAGGGGATGGCTCTCCAAAGCCTGGGATCACAGCGAGTTCAGTTGTCAATGGAAGACACAGTAGAGTGGGCTCTGACCCAGTGCTGATGAGGAAACAGAGACGCCATGATTTGCCTTTAGAAGGAGCCAAGGTGAGAAATGTACATATCTGCTTACACTCTTCTAATAGGAGGAAGTGTAAAAGGTTGGGCAGTGGATTTTATTTGCCTAAATGGTACTTCCCTGCTGGTCTTTAATTAACTCCCAAGTTATAAATATTCAGAAGCTCATTAAAATTTGAACTTAAAAGAAGTCAAGGTAAAGGTTCTAAGTAATGATTTAATTTTAATATGAAGATACTAGACTATGTGACAGATATTTATTCCACCTTCCCTTATTTCATCTGCCAAAATTGTTTTCTGTTAGTCACTTGGTGGGAGAATTAGCACTATTTTTTTTTTAACTCTCCTAGTTCTATCTAGTGTGAAAAAATGTTGTATAATTAATAGCATTTCATAAATCAGCATTGGAATTGTTGCCTAGGACAGTACACCTATGCAACCAGGAAAAATTCTCACCAACATAAAAACTCCAAGTCCACTTCATTATTACAAAGCCAGCTGTTTCTCCATAAAACTGAGAGACTCTCACATATGTTGAGTTTTTGAAGGATATCACCACAATCCTTTAGATGTCCAGGAAAGAATTTAAGCATACAGGAAAGCAAAGGGCAACAGCAGAAATTACTGAGTTCAGAACTCTTAGTAGGCCCTTGGCAGAGTTGCTTATGTTCTCATATTTGCTTCTATGATATTTTTGGCTCTGAGATCAGATAATTCCATTTCCCTTAGCTAGAGGAGGCTTGCCTCTTTTGAAGACTTTAATATTAAAGTGAAACCACTTCTATTGATCTTAAATTGTTATTTTAAGGAAGTAACTTATTCCTTCAAAATAATGGCTTTCAGTTGATGAATTCATCCTATAATAGTCAAGAAACAAAGAAGTGTGAAATATGACGTACTCAAGTCCTGTGCACATGTGTGAAGGAAAAGTGATAATGAAAACTTTTTATAATACTTGACCTCTATGATATTCTAGAGTAGCCAGGATAGGAAGAGTCAAAGCTGTCTGGCATGGCATTCAACACAAAGGGCAAGAGTCGGGGTGGTTAGCCATGACTCTGCCAGTGACTGTTGTTGGTACCTTCAGTTTCTCATCTATTAAAAATATGAAGAGCTCCAAAGTTTCCTCCAACGTCATATAAATGTGATGTAAATGAAAGAGAAAGCACTTATAAAAGCATCTTTATGATGCCTGCTGAAAATGGAGAAATTGTTATCCTCAAAAGAATGTCTCCACAACCTCCAAGCCTTATTGGAGGGACCTGCCATTCTTTTTTTTTTTTTTAATGTCTTTTTTCCCTTTTAGACTCTATTGTCATTCTGACATGATCACACTTCTCTTGAGAAGAGTGTTAGCATGATCTCTGACATGAATTGACTAGTTATATATTAGCAGCATGTAACAACTTATTTTCTGAATGAACTGCAGAAATATTTAAAATATAATAATTATCTTAGCCAACTCATTGAAGACCTCTCATTTCAAGCTTCTTTTAGATACCATTTTATACAGTTTTATCACTATATAAACCTGCTCTTCTAAGTCCTAGAATGCTGGCTTTAATTTAAGTATGGTTGGTTACATTTTTGTCTTGAATATTACAACTATTATTTAGACTTGTTTTCATTATCAGTAATGCTTCAAATTGAGTATCGTCTTCCCATTTTTTTTTTAATCCTCACCTGAGGACATTTTTCTGTTTAGCTTCAGATAGAGTCAGAGGGAGGAAGAGAGAGGGGGAGAGAGAAACATCGACATGAAAGGGACACATTGACTGGTTGCCTCCCACATGACCCCTACCAGGGCTGGGGTTGAACTGCAGCAACTGAGGTACCTGCCCTTGACTGGAATCGAACCCGAGACTCATTGGTCCACAGGCCGACATTCTAACAGCTGAGCCAAACCGGCCAGGGCTCGTCTTCCCATTTTAAGATAAGAAACCTTGTCTAAGTTCTAAAAGTTTAAATTAAAAGTACATGTGCATATGGAATCCCAGAAGGGGAAGTCATAAGATGAAACACCCTGTGACTGGAGTGACAGCTCACTCCCTGCTGTCATGTGTTGTCTTGCAGTGCCAGTTTCCATCATCCGCTAGGACCATTTGCCCTTTGTGTTTGCATCTTCATTAGATAACGTAAGGGAAGCAAGAATAAATTAAATTCTAATTACTCCATTTGCTAGTTGTAGAAAGCTCTGAGAGAAAAAGCCCTCTAATTCATAAAGTGAAGTGTAAGGATTTTCTGTGACTTTCATTTACTCCCGTATCTCTTCCCCTTCCCGCTTACCATAATTAAATAACTAACGTAATACTTGGAACATGAATCTGTAAGCTAAGAGTTATTAGGATTATTGATCTTGTTTCATTTTCTTGGTAAGGGATTTCTGTCCTATGGCACTGTTTCCATTTGTCTGAAATTCTCAGGTTCTAGTCACATAATCAACCTGTTTTTTAATAAATATTTGTTGGCTAAATATTTCTTTCTTGTTGTTGATTGGTTGTTAATTATCTGAGGTGAAGATATTTGCACTATAGTGTTTTAAAATACCGTTGGAAATTCGCAATGTATCTCCTTATTTCTAGATACTAATAACATTGTGTTCTACTGTTTTTGTTCTTTCCGTCTTGAAAGATTAAGACTGCTGCTGTGTTTTATGTGATAAAAACTATCCCCAACTTGTCATGTTACTTCACATGACATTATCTAAAATGACCTTGTGTATAGAAATCTGTTGAAGATGTTGCTTGATAAATACATCAAATGATATTTCCCTTTTTGCGATTGTGGCTTTTGTACTTTGGGTGGTGAGGCTCATGTTTGTATGAACAGCCTTAAATATGGCTATACGTCCCAAGGGCTGTCTTTCAGAAATTCAGTCCTCTGCGTATGCCGGCTTTATCTCCAACCTGATGTTGAAGGACAATTTTAGCAACACTTTGGGGGTAGTGTATGTGTGGGATTACAAGTGTAGTATAAGGGAAATCAGTCAACAACAGTAAAAAAGTATCTAACCAACAAAATATTTATTAAGGAACAGGTTAATATTGTGACCAGAACCTGAGAATTTCAAAGAGTGGAAACCATGCTATAGGACACAAATCTTTTACCAAGAAAATAAAACAAGATAAAAATCGAGGTTTTGTACAGATAAAATTTTTTTTCTTAATTGTGCCAAGATTATCACAAGAGTGTTTGTTTTCTCTATATCTCAAGGGTCCCACATTCTCTAACCTTAATTGTTAGATAACATTTGAATCGTAAGAAAGCATTTCAAATTTCAAGAATAGAGTTCAGTGCTCTCTTGAGGCATATAGAAAAGTATTAATCTAGTGTATAAATAACCTAGAATTTATAATAAATTATCTGATAATTCAGATTATACTTCTTCCACATGTCTAAACTTCCCCTAATGTATTTTTATTCCTTCAGCCTATTTCAGGTATATGAGTACTTAGGATGTTCAAGACACTGTGGGGAATACAAACTGAATAAAGCACAGTGTAGTGAGGGTGAGACAGGTATACCATTAACTAAGAGATAAGACACAGGAGAGTAGCATCAAGAAGATAAAATGTGGTTTCTCCCAGATAAGAACATTCTAATGGAGATTCAGGGTAAAAGAGAGAATGGAAAAAGCTTCATGCAAGAGGGTTACTCACTGGCTATAGGCATTAGAAGGCTGGTAGGTGTTTTTGGAGATATGACAAGAAGGATGGAATGGAGGTGGGGAAACACACATAGTGCAGGAAGTCAGTTTGGGACAGAATATAGGGCCTACAGGCAGGGCAAGCATGATAGGCACAACTATGGCAATGTAGACTGAAACAAGTTTTGTTTTTCTTTATTGATTTGAGAGAGAGGAAGGGAAGAAAGAGAGATAGAAACATCGATTGGCTGCCTCCTGCATGCCCCTCACTGTGGTTGGGCCCACAACCTGGGCATGTGCCCTGACCAGAAATCGAACTGGTGACCTCTTGGTGCATGGGTTGATGCTTAACCAGTGAGCCACACCTGCCGAGCACATTCAGAGTTTTATGACAGAAGAGTGATAGAGTCAGAATACTTAAGTTGAGAGCATCTTCAGTGGAATTGTGGTGGGCTTGGGACAATGAGCTATGAAGGCAGAAGAAAAAGATGTTTCCTTAGCTGATAGTTAAAGAGCCCTGAATACATGAGATTTCAGTGTGAGCTGTTTCAGTTGACACTATCAATCTATACATTTAGAGTTTTCTCCTATTTGCAAGCAAGCATTTCAGATTTGCAGAGAAAATAAAATATTTATTTTTAACTCATAAAATTATGACTTACTGCACTCCCTCAGGCAGTAGCAACTAAAATGATTTGAAGTTTAATGAAATGGGTGCAGGTGGCAACATGAGATTCAGAATGAGATGATGTTACTTCTTGTCGTTCTACCACTATCAGGTAATATAAATGAACACTTTAAATGAACAGAAATATAAACATCACCTTAGTACCTATATATTTAGGTCCTTTGCTGTTTGTACATATGTATAACCTCAGTCTATCAAGTTTGAAAAAATTATGAAGAATTACTTGTTTACAAGATCAGCTGTTAAATAAATTGCATAGATTTGCTGAGAGAATTTCAGCAAACTCATGACTTTCTTCCAGCTGTACCAAAGGAAAGTCATTGCATTGGTTACTGCCTCCATTACGGAGGTCATGGAAGCCAGTCGTCAGTCCACTTCGTTCCAGCCTTACTGTGTATGAAGCGCTGAAGGAATGTCCTATAAAATGAGGAAATCAGAGAGGCTTTGTGCTGAGACCCAGCGTGGCCTGAGTGCTCTTCCCCAGAACATAACTGAAATATTGGCACATGCCAAGAACCAAACGAATGGTTCAGAAAAGACACACTGTGGCCTTGCAGAGGCTGGAGAGATCCTTGAGTTACTCTGTGTCAATACCAGTGTATCTAAAGCAATAGGGCACAGTGCTGCTTGCATTTTAAAGCATATTAATAGATTATGTGACAAAATTAGGGCAAGTCCCTTAACTTTCTTAGGTTATTGCTCTCCTAGAATAACCTACATCATTAACTGTGCTTTAGGGTTTTTCCGATGATAGACACCACTGCTTTTGTGACTTGTTGAAATTTAATGGTAGTACCCAAAATGTGCATGCTCCTTTATTAATATATTAATATATTTATTATTTAATTTATCTAATAAGCAAATGAAAGCACTTATAATATCAATAAATGTTTTGAGTATATCAATACTTATTTTCATATACATTCACAATGTTCTGATTATAAAATCATGGTTGGCTTATTGTTAGATTAGCGTCAATATGACTGAAACTGTTACTTCCATACCTACTTTTTATATAACTGGTGGAATTTTATTAGATAGCAACAGTGCATTAAATATTTTCTCCTAATAAAACAAATGATTGCATATGAAAGCCATAGTACATTTTCCAGAATGTAATTTTAAATATATTTGTGACAGAAATATCAATGAGATTTGATAGCAAAAGTCCTTACATTGTACCCATCCCGGCAACATGCACAGGACTCCAATTAAGAATGACTTTAAATACTCATTATCACAATGAGTATTTGTGGTTTGATACATGTGTTTGTTGGTTACAAAGCATTTTTTATGTTACAGGTTTTTATTGAACTTTGCAATGATTAATATGTACTTAGAAATTGTCCCTCTCAAGCAAAGTTCAGAAGCTGCCTTGTTCTGTTATTTGGTCCATAGTCAGAAGCCTATGATAATATTATTTCATTTAAAGATATATTTGATCATATTGTAACTATAGTGTATTGAATCTAATGAGGGGAGGTATAAAAAAGAAAAAAATGGAATTATAGTACAGAGCCTACATTTTAGAGTGAAACTTGAATGCGATGAAATTTAGATTGTGTAGCTTTGAAATGCAAACATTGATATATTTCAAATGTATTCCTTACACATGTTCCTTTTCTTATTCTAAAGTGCTAGAGAAGGATATGTATGGCTTTTTCAATTTTGCATTCTAAAGCTTCAACACCACTTTAGAAATATGAAGGGGGAAAAGAAAAATAAATTGGTAGGTCATTGGTTGGGTTACCTAGAACTATTCAAGTTATATGACATCCTTTTTGCACCAACATCCACCTAAACTTTTTAAAGTATGAATTAAGAGTTTGTAAAAGAGACTAGTGATAAAACACTAAAGGTTGCTTAAAGGTCTTACAATATGTTTAAACTTTTCTTGTGAATATGTCTTTGCAAAGTTATTCTCTCTCTCTTTTAAGTTGCTTAATTTTAAGTTGTTGGATTAGTCAAGAGCAGTTTTTTAGACAGTTCCTGTAACGTAACTGATCACCTTGGAAATCAGAATTTCTGAATTCTGAGTAATTATTTGGCTCTGTGTATACCTTATGAGCAAAGTAACAATTTTGGTTTGTGTTGCTTATACACAGGAATCTATGTATAAAATTCCCTGCACTTCAAAAGCCAGAATAGGTCTCTAGTTATCAGTAGTGCTGAAGTTTAAAAGAACAGAGGCATTTCTGATCATGCTCATGCACTGTGTTACCTTTAAGTTTAAAAACGTTGTTGACCCCTGAAAGATACAGTGTAGAACATGTACTTCGGAGGAACTGAAGTAAGGATTGCCCAGTGCTGCTTTTTTCTATGTGGAATCCTTACAGAGAACTCTAACTTTTCAATAAAAGCTGATTATGTTTGGGGAATTTTACTCTTTATTTGCTTAGCTATCTATATCTGACTTATAGAAATTACAGTCTGCCCTCTCAATATGTTTAAGAAGCATGTTGTATTGGATTTCTTTCATATAACTTGGTGGTATTACCTCTTATGTAAATTATATGATAGTTCACTTGTTTAAATAAAGGGAAGTTATATATTCTTTTCAAAATTATAGATTTTCTGAAATTGCTATTTTTGTAAGCTCCTTCCGAAGTTAAATTCTAAACTAACTCTGGTTTCCGTTCAGGTCTTTTCCAATGGCCACCTGGGAAGTGAAGAATATGATGTTCCTCCTCGGCTTTCTCCTCCTCCTCCAGCGACTGCCCTCCTCCCTAGCATCAAGTGAGTTGTATTGAATGTGGAGATCATTTACCCATGCGTAAAGACATTGTAAACAGTGGTTTTGATGATCTCAGTACACAAAGTATAGGGTGACTACAGATGCGTCAGTGGAAATGATTCAGCTGGATTTATAAACTCAAGTACCAGAAACCAGGAGCCTTCCTGGTCTGTGCTGGTAGCCACTGCCTCTACAAGACCTAAGCTAAGCTCTGAGATTCCACAGAATAGCGAGGACAGAAATCTGTCTTCCAGAGGAAGAGGAGCACGCAGCACAGCAAGCTCCCCCTTCCCATAGCGCTCTCTTCCTCAGAGAGGCCACATTTCCCCAGCTACCCAGTCTGGCATCATGAAATAATCTTTGGTTCCTCCAGTTTTCTCATTGCTCAAATCCATGTAGCCATGAAGTCCTGTTGATGGTTCTTTTGAAGTTTTCCATATTCGGCTGATCTTCCCCATTGCCCTAGCTTTACCTCATAGTTGGACAAGCCTTATACCTGATCATGTGATATGACTTCAGAATTACTAGCAAGATATTTTAAAACTAGAAAATAAGTTAAGCCAGGTGTTATTTAAAAAATGGGAACACAGGAGGCACAATGGACAGTTTATATATATATATATATATCTACCCAAATCAAACCAGAATAAAACCAAGTCTCCAGATTCCCACTTTTCTTGCTCTTTGTATTAAATCAGGCTGCCTGCCTTTTCTCCAGTATATTTTGTCTCGCAGCTGACTTAATTCAAATTCTGCTTTCCCAAGATCACTTTCCTGTTCAAAACCCAGCATTGTTCTTTCTTTCCTTCTAAATCCTCTGCTCTTCTGCCAGCAGTAAGACCTACAGAATTTTACCCAACTAAAATATTGTTCAGTAATTCCTAATGCTTGCTTCTAATCTTGTCTTGATTTGTTCCTCTGGCTTTGTGAGTTTTTCATCTGTTCCCTCCTGTCCATCACTTTTTCAGAATCTTTATTCTAACAGTCCATGTCTCAGGCTCTCTGTCTTGATGAAAACTTGTGGCTTCTTCAGTCATGATGCTAGTAGTAAAACTGATTCTCATTCATCTTCCTACAATTGATTTTCTACACATCTGATTATATATGTGCTCTACTGTTTTCTAATTTTAAAGTGCTTTTCCACATTAAAAAGATTATAAAGTTCTCAGGGCAAAAACCTATTCTTATATTCTCTCATTCTCCCATCACACCCTACTGTTTTTGCTGTATAGTGAGTACCGAGAAGACCTGGTTGCTTGGTTGGTTGACTTTATTATCTGCTAAGATTCTCGTTTCTAATTGAACGCTGAGAGCACCTTTGCTCCTTTCTCTGCTCGCCGCCGACTCCCACTGTGCATATGCTGTAAAAGAAGGATGAGCTAGACACCAGCTCCCCCAAATTTATGGTTTACTTTAAATGAAGTTAACATCCATGAAATCACTAAAGAACATTTTGCAGTAAATTGTACGACTCTTGCCTTTTTAGTTTTTATGTAAGCTTGGAGGAGAGGCTATTATAGAGTTTGTAAGTCAAGGATGTTATCTAGAAAGAATGGAAATTTCCTGAATCATGGAGGGTAGGCACAACTGGGAAATGGAGAGTGCATGAGAAAAAGCAGGAGTATGAAATTTGACATTATTCAGAGGACAGTGGAAAACTAACTTACAGTTGTACCGTTCTCCAGGGGCAGCTTTTCTCAGAATTGCCAGCTGGGTAGCTGACATAGAAGCTGGAAGCATGGATGCATATTCTGTGTAGTAGGCTCTAAATTAGTCAGAGCATATGATACTCTAGCCTCAGATGACCTCTGGGTATAGACCGGGTATATGTCAGTATTTATACTGACACATCTAATCTCAGTTACCTTGGAGAATTCAGAGAACACCAGAAAAGGAAGTAAATGAACCTGAAAATTAAAGATTAAATTTTCACATGCTATTTATTAAATTAATATTGGTAAGTGGGATAAGAGGCAGAGGTTGTAATATGTTCCATTTGTATTTAAGAGTAAGTACCTGTTTCTTTATAAGTAAAGAATAACAAATTCATGGTAAAATATATTTATTGACTTTTTGTATACTTCAGTTTGTATATGCATGTGGATATACTTTCTTTCTATTTATTCTTGATTTTTCCCTCAGAAACAATGCAACTGCTTTACTAACCAGAGAAATATTTTAGCAATGCATGCTTAACTCCAAATTAGTTTTGTATTTTGCCTGCTGCAAATTAACCATAATTAATATTAATAATACAAGCGTTGGCTTTTAATGGCACAGTTCTCTCTCCAATTTATTTTTTATTCTTACTATTAGGGAGCTGTTCACTGTAAAAAATATGGAAAGTTTATAAAAGAAAAAAATACATAAATACAGGTATATGCATACCCCAAATATCAATGTTCAGTTTTAACATTTTGGCTTTTTTCTTTAAGACTTTTTTTACATGAGTTACATTATATTATAGAGAGAATTCCTTTGTCACAGCGTATTAAATAAGCATTTTTCTTAATTCGTTATGCACTACATTTATTATGAAACCAGTATAGAATTCCGAAGTGATCATTCAAATAAAATCAGACCTGATCCCAGACCTGATTCCAGCATGAAGTGTTTGTCTGTCTGAATAAGGTACCCTTGCTGGGCCCCGCTTTCTCCATCTGTTAACTGGAGGGATCCATGTATTTAGATGATCCCCCAAATCCTTCTGAGCTCAGCTTTTTAGGTTCTGTGCAAAATGTTTAAGGGGTACTTATCTGTCGTGTTAATTATATATGAACTATTTGGCAACTTGAATGCTCATTTATAGTCAGTTGTGTCCCATGGCTGAAGTTAGTATGAGCTGGATGACTGTCCTGGTTTTTTTAATTTTAATTTTTTTTATGTTTTGTCAAGTATGGCATTGTTAGAGCATATAACCAGAGTACAATGAATAAAGACCCTCCCCTCTGGAGGGGCATAGAACAGAGAGGTCTTGGCAATATGTAACTCACTGAAATAGGGAAGTTGGATGGGTGTTCAAGTACCTATTTGCATATTGGACTCAGTGCATATTTCTAGATCAGGCCAAAGCAAAACTGCAAATTACTACCTAACCTAGACTTTTGTGGTTCTCACAAATGTTGAAAGCCCCAATGTTGAACTCGGTAATGTCAACGCTAGCATTAACCTTAATTTTTTAAGAAGATTTTTAGAGAGAGAGGAAGGGAAAAGGAGAGAGAGAGAGAAATCAATGTGAGAGCAGAACATTGATCAGCTGCCTCCTGCACGCCCCCCACCAGGGATTGAGCTTGCAACCTGGGCAAGAGCCCTGGCTGGTCAGTGCCCGGGACGATGCTCCAACCAACTGAGCCACACCTAAACCTGTACCGTGGACTTGTAAATATTTACTGAGATGTAATTGTTTAATTATTTTATGTTACTCTGATTCCCATTTACTTAATAAAAGAGGCTACTTTGCGATGGTGTTTACTGTCTTGTAAAACTCATGTTTGCAATTATGTGACTCTTTTGTGTAATACATCTTTGAGACCTAGGAGAATCTATAATTTATCTTTTAAAAATATTGTCATAAGAGCTGAAACTGTACTAGTGTGTATAGATTTACTTGTTTTTTTCTTAAAGGGTTTTTTAAGTGGTTTCTACTTAATACTGACATTTAGCTGTAAATATAAATTTTTAAATAAAAGCTTAAAATTAAATAATTATTATTTTTGGTCGGGGGGAGAAAAAAATTGTATGTGGACTATTTTTACTTTGTATTGTAAATTTTTACTAAATTATATTTAATCTTAAAATAATTTTATTTTTTCACAATTAAACCAAATATAACCTGAAACAGTTAAAAATATTTATTTTACTTGAAATAAGATGTTGGCAGATTAGCAAAGGAATTATTGCAAGTAATAATGGAATAATTATTTGCAGGTAAGATAATGTTCTGGAATGCTGAGGAAATTTTTTTTTTCTAAGAATATTTTTCTCGTGCCTTGTCTTTTTGAAATGGACCCTTTGTACTTTTTGACGTAGTAAGCTTTCAAATACACATGAACCGATATGACTCAGTTCATATTGTTGTAAAAAGGCTTTTTTGTTTTGTCATGTATTTTTCTAAACATATAAGGTTACTAATATTTTAGGTTCAATGAACAGAGAATCAGATTTTGCCTACCTCTCCCGATTTTTCATTCCGTCCCATGTACTGACTGGAGATTGAGTGTGAACAAGATAAAAAGTCCACCCTCCTTGGAGCTGGTCAGGGGAGGACGGAAAGGAACCAGTACCGTGTTTACTGCCAGGTAGTGGTAAGTGCGAGGAGGAGTACAGCAGAGAAGGGGGGTAAATAGTGATAGTGAGGTTTCTAATTTACATGAGCTCGTCAGGAAAGGTAATATTTTAACAGAAACCGGAGGACGTAAGGGAAAGAGCTACAAGGTCATCTGTGTGACGAGCAGGAACTGAACTCAAGTTCAGAACAGTGAGGCCGTGAGTCCCTGTGGCATATTGAAGGGGAGCAAGAAGGGCAGTGTGTCTGGAGCTGGATAAGGGGTGCAGGAGCTCAGCGCTCTGCTGCCTTTGAAGCTATGCTAAGAACTTTGGTTTGGTTAGTTGAAGGAGCCGTTGGAAGGTTTTGATGAGCATTATGATGTGATGCTAGTTTGTGTTTTTAAAGAGTTTTTCACTGGCTGCTGTGTGGAGAATTCTTTAGGAAAGCAAGTGGAAGCAGGGAGACCATGGAGACTTTAGTTGTGGTAGACCAGTAAGAGATGGCCAGGGCTTTGGCTGGTGTGATGCTGATGGAGTTAATGGTCAGCTTTGGTTGATTTGGATCCAGCAATGCCTGTTAATAAATTGGATGTCAATGAGATATGAGAGTCATTGATGACACTCACAGAAGTTTTTGCAAAAAAAAAGGGTGAATGGTTGGTGCCATTTACCAAAGTAAGGGAGATCAGAGAAGGAGCATATGTGGGAAGGGGCAGAGGGGCTAAAAATTACGACT